AGAACCAAACAATGACTATTCCGGCTATCAGAGCAGTTTGATCACAACGGTATGTGTTGGGTGTTTTAGTCTGTGGCTGGTGAAATTAGGTTTAAGTGGTGCCGTTTCGTGACTTATGCTTCCAAATGTACTGAGAAAATAGATCAAGGGGATGCAATTTTTCAATTTTCCTTTAACCGGCACCTATGAAGGGGTAGATAGCACCGTGAGCTCCACTTGCAGTAGACTAACGGAGAAAAGTAATTACCGTTTTAGTAACTAACAGAAACTACTCACTGCCCTTTCAAGGTTTTTAGATATGCATGGTATGCAAAAACCAGAAGACTGCAAGTCATCACCTTCCATAGCGTACATCCTGACGGTCAAATTAAAATTGAGCTGGAAGTCACACCGGTTTTAGGCAAACGGTGACACCAAAAAAAAGCGCTGCTTCGAACAAGAGAGAGTAGTTTAGCATACAACCAGAGTATATAGGCAGTTACTCGAACCTGTGACCGGATCATTCCTTGAAACGTGAGGTTTCTCAATCACTGTCTTCACTCCGTTTTCTTTTGTTGCTTGCTGTTGACTAAATAGGTGTCGTTCGATCGGAGGACACAGAGATATTTAAAATGCATTCGTTACGAGTTCCTTGTTATTACTTTTATAATTCTCCTACGTGTCAGCGAGCTGAAACAACTGAGCAGGGAGGAAAAACAGTTTAAAGTGGTTCACTTTCTGAATTTCGCAGATTCACAGATTGATACGCAGATTGCTTGAAGCTTTTGGGCAAAACGCCCGATTCGGGTTTGTTCTTGTTGTTCAAGGGCTTTGGCTGACCAGAAAGCCACAGGCATGAAGAAAGATATAGCACCGTTTTCTACGTTTTCAGAGTTGGGCAATTAACTCATCAGTGCAGGGACTCACACAAAAGGCACCTAAGATCGATTTGAATTGGATCCCAAATGCAATGTGAACAAGGTTCTGAAAAAATTTGATTCTACGCACCAACTGCCCAAAATGAGAAATACTGTTACCTGATAAACGTGTGCGCTTTGAAATATCAACCTTGTCACCGCAATGAATCCGTAGAACGACGGTAGGAAACTTAGCATCTAAATCTTGTTCAAACGAGGAGTAAGTAAGCATCAGTCCAGAAGAATGAGGTAAAAGATCTTCAGACGTGTTCCACAGACAACGAATTTAGGACGACAACTAACTTTCTAGGTACTCGTTAGGCAAACTCAATGAAGCTCGCATCCCGAGTAAACAACTCAGTGGTCGCTGATTTGTTCTGAGCAATTGCACAACTCGGCGAACAAACCAACGACCACCTACGCTACCTGAGCTACCAACATTTTCCTCTATAGAAAAAACTCGGTTGAGGTATTCAGGAAGTGCCCATAGAGTGTGCAGAATTCCATTGGAATAATGCGGTAGAAAATGCATCAACCCAAGTTAAAAACATGTTTTATACCCATTTCTCACGACGACTTGTGAAAGACATGCCTAAAAAAGCTAGATATTTAAATCCTTTTTATATCTAGTCCCTTAGGAAATGTTTGTTTATGCACAACAAATACGTTTGCTGAGTTTCTCCAAATGACATATGGGCACACTGTTCGTCATCCAAATTTACTTACCAGTCCAGTGACCACTACTTTGCGGCGTCGACATCCACATGAAATGCGTTGGCCTTTGAAATATGCGATCTCGGCTCGTCCGAAAAAGGTATACATGGACTTGATAGCACATCAGAAAAGTCACTGGCGTAGGTCAGAAGGCGGAATGGTCTTATGACGAAGCTTTTAGTAGCCTCAATGCAGACTGCTGCAGAAGAGCTGTGGGTTGACCCGACTTTTACTGGGAACATTCTACCTAAAACCGAAGTCATAGCCCAGCGTAAAATCCTTCTTGTTTCACATAGGCCTTGATTTTCTGGAGTAATATAACGTGCACAGCTAAGTCAAATTCTTTTGAGAAATCAAAAAGTACAGAATTAAAAATAAGACCTTTGTCTTTGGTTTGTGCTGACCTCTCCAAGAACCCGAGAATGGCTTTGGAGGAGTCTGTGTTGCATCGAGCATTTCAAGCTGTTAGAATGAGTAGATTTAGAACGGTCAGTTTCAGGATTCGTTAGTTTACTCTGCTATTGAGGCTAGTAGGCATATGGCTGCCCAGCGATAAGCGGACAATAGATTCGTTAATGGTGTAACAATCGCTTCATTCGTGCCAAGCCGGGCAATTTTTCTTTCAGGGTACTTTGATGAGATCCCTTTGGCACTATAACCCTGAAGGAGTTTGCCATGTTCAAGTGTTCACCGACATCCTCCCCTGTAAATTGTAAGTTGTTCGGAAATTTGCTGTCAAGTTTAAATGGACTGGATGAAACATCTAGCCTGTAAGACTCGGCTACCCTTGCTAGGCGGCGCGTAGGTTGTTGTCCCTCAAAAAGTAGGCCATTGACTTGTTTCCTATGCGGCGCTTTGGTTAATTACGTATACACTTTTGTTTCTCATGGCGACACATAGTATCGTGACCTGCTTCCTTGAATTGAGCTGACAGATTTCTTAATAACAGCGGTTTGGCACCTTATTCAGTGTCACCTGGGTTTCCGCGCCATTTGTTGGTGTCTTTCCAAAGATGGTTTCGACTTTATATCCAGAAAGCGCTAAATCTGTTTTCGTCACCCTTAGTTCGATAGACTTTGTAGTGGATTCTTAAAACGGAATGCTACATCAGCTTCGGGAATGGTCCTTTAGTTCTCTTCCAGTGAAGCTGGTCTCAGTTCAGGTTAGTCAAAGGCGAAACACACTCCTGAGAAATCCGTGTGATGGAAATTTTGAATGCAGGTGTGAAGTCCATGGTTCCTAGTCCTGTTGCAAATGAAGTCGAAATTCAGTACACATTGGCCACAATGTTCCAGAGAATTCCTAATAAATATTCAAACAACAAAACCTCTCTAATTAGTGACAACCAGATCCCTCAGGTATGATACTTGGACCGCTTTTCATGGGTTTGGCGTGGCGACATGCTGAGTTTAAATGACTTGCTGCATGGCTGCTGTCAGCGTTGATCCAAAAAGCCCACTAGACGCTACGTGTTAAAACTTGAGAATGGGGTCACCCGTCAGCAAAAGTGCTAAATGTGGAAGTGTTGCCCAAATCATCTCTTGGAGGAATTGAGAGACGACGGTAAGCGATGCCGAGATGAAGATAATCGGTCGCACGCACTGAAGATTCAATCCACGCTGCGTCACTAAAGTTTAGAGCAGTAATATCAGTGAGGGTATCAGAAGGGTACAGAATCATATAAACAAAGCCATTTGTCCTCCCAAACTTCAGGTCAGTCCGTGAAATCCATAAAACTTTAAATGAAATCTCAGCGTCAGATATACTTGGTATGAGCCAGGTCCTCGTAAGTGAGATTCGGGACATTTGTTCAGCGCAAGCTGATCGTTAAAATGCACATATTTTTTGAAGATTCCAAGACAGTTCGTAAACGAGCGTTTCAACCATAGTTTGTTTACACCCATAGATGTATTGAGCCGTTATATGGGATAACAGAAACGCTTGCTTTGCTTCCAAGTCTTGAAGAGAGCCCCTGCAGCGCACTTGTAAGATTCTTGCTTCCAAATATTTTCAATTCTTCTCTTCCGCCTAGAACAAACTTTTCCCAGTTTTCGCACCTCTAAAGGGCTGTCCCTGGATCTTCGCAAATGGTTTGCAAACCACTAAATCCGCACTGTTGGTGCCATCTCGACTGGTAATGAATCGTTTGCAATCAGACCAACAAACAGGGGTCTTCAACATCTGCACATTATTTTAGGTTTTTCCGTACGACAGATGAGAACGGAGAATTTGCGAACTCCTGGAGGTGCGCTTCTTTTCCTTACCTTATTATCATCTTGCAAGAAGCGATTCGTACTCGACTTTCGTAACAACAGCGGCGAAGAACGAATTCGCAATTTTCAGGTATCATGGTCACTTTGGAGAACTCTCTGCAAATAATCACGTCTGACTCTGTCATGCTCGTTTTCACCAGCGATTTCGCGGCTTTCCTGACTTTTGTTCCAGGGAGTTGGAAACAAGAATGCCGGGATGGAATTCGCTAGGAACTCGTTCATGAAGGAGAGCTCACTGTTGGCTTTGGACCAAGCCGCTATATTCTTCGAGGTTCCGCTCTTAAATAACTTCAAATGCAATAAAATTGGGCCCCCAATCGCTCCGGTTTAAAAACACTTGCACTGTTATCCTGACTTGGAAGTGTGTAGTTACTTCCGTTTTCGCAGATGTTTTGTTTATACTGAGGCAGCTGGCCCAGCCAAATGGGTCAGAAGACTTGGACAGTCATCCTTTAGACAAATACCGAAATATATGCGAAAAAATTTACAAAATTACGCCATATAACTCAGGAAAGTGGTGAAATAGCATGAATTTATTTCGAATTGGCAACAGCACCAAGCGAGACCAAATTCAACAGTACTCTGCGGAAAACAGGAGCGGACGCATGCTAACTGGGTCCAGCTTGGTATCGTACTAGTTACATTTCAAGGGGCAATCAACTAAGGTTATCTCGAGCGCACCCAGATGCAATCCTTCAAAACGAATATAAGCTGTAAACAGCAGCTTCTTTTTCAAGAAACGCAAAATTTTGTTTCAAAATCAGACCACTCATGCTGCCAAACTCTGACTGATTTTTGTATGAAGAAAATACATGCACTACTTGATTTCATATTTGGCCTTTCTAAGAGCTCCTACTAACTTCTTTGCCATACTTACATATTACCGGTCACCAAAGCCCGTAATCTAATTTTCCAACCCCAAATATAGCGTATTACACTGACAGTTTGTTTTAATCAACCAACGTAATGTATCACCACTGTGCGATAGCAACCAAATCCAGACAACATATAAAGTGGCGCTTCAAGTGAATTTTGAATCCCTCGTCTTTTCCGTTCAAAAATGCGTGAGATAGTTCATATTCAGGCCGGGCAGTGTGGCAACCAGATTGGTGCCAAGGTAACCTTTATTGATAATTATTATTTTACTTTATTTAGTTCTGGGAAGTAATTTCCGACGAGCATGGTATCGACCCGACTGGCACTTACCATGGGGACTCTGACTTGCAACTGGAACGCATAAACGTTTATTACAATGAGGCTACCGGTGGGAAATACGTTCCTCGCGCTATATTAGTTGATCTGGAGCCCGGCACCATGGATAGTGTTCGAGCCGGTCCTTTTGGCCAGCTATTCCGTCCCGATAACTTCGTTTTCGGACAGAGCGGAGCCGGTAACAATTGGGCTAAGGGACACTACACTGAAGGAGCCGAACTAGTGGACTCTGTTTTGGATGTTGTGCGAAAAGAGTCTGAGTCGTGTGATTGCTTGCAAGGCTTCCAGATGACACATTCTTTGGGTGGAGGCACTGGGTCCGGAATGGGTACCTTGTTGATTTCGAAAATCCGCGAAGAATACCCTGACAGGATCATGAACACATTTTCCGTTGTGCCTTCTCCAAAGGTAAGAATCCTTCTGTCTTCAACGCCCATTGTTTAGGTTTCTGATACTGTGGTCGAACCCTACAATGCCACTCTATCCGTGCATCAACTTGTCGAGAATACGGACGAAACTTACTGCATCGACAACGAAGCTTTGTACGATATCTGCTTCCGTACTCTGAAGCTTACCACACCGACTTATGGTGACCTGAACCATTTGGTTAGTGCTACCATGTCTGGCGTGACAACGTGTTTGCGTTTCCCTGGTCAACTGAACGCCGACTTGCGAAAACTGGCGGTGAACATGGTGCCGTTCCCTCGCCTTCACTTCTTCATGCCTGGTTTCGCTCCGCTGACTAGTCGCGGCAGTCAGCAATATCGGGCACTAACTGTCCCAGAACTGACGCAGCAAATGTTTGACGCAAAGAATATGATGGCTGCCTGTGACCCACGTCACGGAAGATACCTGACAGTAGCTGCAATCTTCCGCGGCCGAATGTCCATGAAGGAAGTTGATGAGCAAATGCTGAATGTGCAGAACAAAAATTCCAGCTACTTCGTCGAGTGGATACCGAACAACGTGAAGACGGCTGTTTGTGATATTCCTCCCCGTGGACTGAAGATGTCGGTGACGTTCATTGGGAACAGTACCGCAATCCAGGAGTTGTTCAAGCGCGTGTCCGAACAGTTTACTGCTATGTTCCGCCGGAAGGCTTTCTTGCACTGGTACACAGGTGAGGGAATGGATGAAATGGAATTCACGGAAGCTGAGTCTAACATGAATGATTTGGTGAGCGAGTACCAGCAGTACCAGGATGCAACCGCAGAGGAGGAGGGAGAGTTTGAAGAGGAAGAAAATGAGGAGGCCTAGGATGTTTGATTCCTTAGGATAGACATAATACATTGTTAGTTGGTTCAACCTTGGTTTTGTCTCAATAGATGGTTAGTACTATATTCGTCATACAGCGATCGTTAAACAAACGGGATTTGGGATACCGTTGCTCCGCATTTTGGATATTATTGACTGATTTCAGTTTACTGTACTAACCAGTACGTAGATGCAACAGTGAAAAAACGACCTGTCTTGAAAAGTTGTAAATAGCGTGATATCTGACTTCTAAACGTGAATCGCTCAGAACGTCGACTTCTGTTCCCAACATTTAATCACTGTCACCTGTAATAACCGCTTGCTTGTCGTACAGTAGTTATAGCTGCCACATTTCCGTTCGCTGATTCGAGATGAGATAGGAATTTGCGCATTGGAGGCGGGAGGTGATAAAATTAGTGCCTAAATACAGCACTGTCAGTGGACTGTTAAGTAGAGGGAATCGGGAAGGGGACTATTCGTTGAAGGCAATGGATTGTATGCATGAGCGCCATTGAGGGTGCGACTGGGCAATGTCTGTAATCGTTGATGTGGCTCGTTTCGGGTCCCCATCCAGGAAGACGGCAAAGATCAGCGCAGCTGAGTCTACTGGAGATGACCTTTATACTTCACTGCCAAGTCATTGTTTGACCGGCTCCCTTCCACCCTTCACGTGGTTGTGCGAAAAGAGTTCTGTGAGGAAGTCGGTCGGCTGGCATACGCAGCAAGTGGCCAAGCCAGCGCAACCTATGCAGTGTGGTCGGTTCATCTATCGAGGGTGAGTTATTTCTCCCAGATCCGGTTGTATGAAAATCCTAGGACCTTTCTTGTGGATTGCAGAGTGCAAGGGATACGGTCAATTTGGATGTAATTAATTGCTGTCCCCGCCTTTATCGGAAAAAAGACTTGCCGACAAGGCACACAACAGCTTTATGCAACCAAGTTATTGTAAGATTCACAAAGAGCATTGTGGGTGCGAATGTTGGTTGTTCGGCTGGTGAGAGCCTCTATAAAATGCGCGGACGATCGTAATCATAGGCCTTTGGTGAATTGTTTGCTGGCGTGAATGTTCTGTTGGAAGCTGGCTTTCCCGGACTAAATGCTTGACGGCTTTGCTACTGCGATTTCGGAGATGCTTGAGGGTCTCTGTAGGTTTCGGCATTCTGTAATAGTAGTTTGACCTTCCTGACGGTAGGGAGCACGAATGCTGGAGCAGCAGCTTGTGGCCTTTTCCGCAGTTAAACAGTAGATGGTTGGCTCTCAAGCAGCTGCAAGCTGGCCCTAGTCTGCAAAAGCTTGAGTGGGAGGAACGGATGACTTCAAGTTTTCGTCGGACGTCCTCACTTCGAAACTGAAGTTTGGGTACGTGTATGGTTGGTGCTCCTTTGGAGGTAGTAGCAATTTAATAAAGCTAGCGAGGGAATGCTTAGGTTTGCAGGTTACCAGTTTAGGTAGCAACAGGATGAGCGGCATGTAATCGATATACTTTAGAAAGCTTAGAAGGTACTTCACCCCAGATTTGATGACAGTATTCCACACTTGGCTGAGTTCGTTGCTTCGTACTGAGAATCTGCAGTGTCATAGCATGTTCTTAAGATTGGAAGATCCTGTTTCCTCAATTAAGAAAACTCTTCACGTGAGTTCCACACGATAAAGTGTGAGGGATACTGGAACCCGACAATGAGAGTACTATGAAGAGGTTGGTAATGACCAGCTGAAGCTCCTACAAACAATACTCGTCGACTTGGGCAAGATCGTCATCCAGAATGCGACTGTCCGATGTTGATGTCTCCATCCGGTCATCACACCTTAAAGAGAAGCGTGATGCTGGAATGAATGAAAGTGGAACAGCGAAGTGACGGGAAATACATACAGACTGAAAACAATAGACGCGAAAGTTGTTTCATCCGTAGTTGGCAACAGATAAAATCTCATCAGGGCTCTTCCAGTGGCTTCGCCTGTGATATCTCGATTGATTGATGTCGCTACCAGCGTCAGATACAGAACGAAGGCAAACCAGAGAATTAAATGTACCGTGAGGAAGTACCTGAAGGAGCTTCTAGGTGCGTACGCACTGGAAGATGTCGTTCATCAAGTTTGGTTACAGGACTCGAGATAAGGTGCTACAGTACCTACTGGAAGTACCGTCGTTCGAACACAACACAAACTTCGAATGCTCGGTGCGAATATTTTCTTCAAGCCGCATAGTAGCCGGGTATCCAAATGGAGCTGTGGCGGAACGATCGTTACAGATATACGTGTGGGTTTGATACCGGTAACTTTAATAAAATATCGGCGTATCGAACCCAGTTAAAAGTCTTCGTGTTGTCCAATCGAACGAACTCGGTTTCACAAAAGTACTGGCTAGTGGATCAGTAGACCACCCTTGGAACACTGGCGCAGAAGCCCGTGTTGATGGCTTCTCAGGAGGGTGCTTTCAAGATCTCGCGAGTTTCGCTTTTTGAGCACTTATTCAAATATGTAGGTGACAGGCTGAAGTTCGGAAACCGCCCATGATGATATTTGTAGGACGAGTTTGGGGATATCCACTCCCATAAGATATCTTACTGGGTTTAGTGCATCTGGAATCTTACCGGCATTAATTCCGTGGGCTGCATGTACTCTTCTAGCTACAGTTCAGTCTTCATCTGAAAAACTGATCGTGTGACAGTAGACGGAATTTCGTGGACAGCAAGGGTTGGTTCGGAAATGTTTGCCGAGGAGAGAGTGCCCATGGCTGACCTTGGTCGTTTGTAGTCATATAAAGTAGTAAGACCGGAATCCAACAGTGGGTGTTTTCTTCAGGAGTTTATAGATGTGGACAGGGTCACAATTGGAAGTTTGGATCGTTCGACTCTTTCTACATACCGTGGTTTACTAGTCATTGCATATTTTAGACTTTGTCAAGCTTGGATTGGTAACATTAGGTTCGTGCGAACTGTGACTAAGTTATGACAGTTCGAGGTGTTCGTTGGCTGTACCTGAAGCTCTCTGGCTTCCGAAATAATTTCTCAAGTCCTTTATGTTGTAGATAGAGAGGCTGTGGGAACCTCAGGCGACTGAATTTAATCAACAGAGCAACGATGAGACCGCGCTTGGCCAGTTTGGTTACATAGTGTCTTCTCCACAGCCGTACGTCATCAGTGTATGCCATGTGTGTTGATAACTTATGCATATGGGTTGGTCGTCGGTACGATATCATCCTCCTCACATGCACCAATAAACCAGTGGTGGTAGCTGGTGTTTAACCGATGCCACAGAAAAAGACAACCCTAGTGGAGGGCCAAAAGAGAGGGGCTACTGAATATCTCGGGAGAATGACAGGCGCAAGTTGTTAGTACCCTCTAACAAAATAAACGCATGGGTCGTTCTTAGGTAAGACCACATCAACAAAAGAACATGAAGTCTGTTGCGAACCTTTCGAAACAAAAGCCAGCAGGCGAAGACAGGCAAGTGGTAACTAGGTCTCCTAGTGGAAAATGACAACAACCTCACCACTGGTTATATCTCGTATTCTGCGGGGTTTCCAGCCGCGCTCAAGTAGAGCCACGTGGGCCCCACCCAGGAAAGCTTTCAACTAACTTTACCACATAACAATCTGCCCGCGGACGTTTCGCCGACAACTTTGGACTGGAAAACACGGCTCTGTTGAACATACGCCCCAATCACCCCAACGTGACTACTGAAGCGATTCTGATTCATAGGGTGTCCACTTATAGATGATTTGATTACTGACGTACTGCAGCCAAAAAATTTTCCGCTCTACGAAGACCGGTGACTAATAATGTGAAGGTTGTACGGTCTTCAGATTGGAGCAGCTAACTTTCAGAGCCATAAATACGAGTGCTTTCGCGGTCATTTTGCACACATTGCTCTCTAACTTCAAATTTGCTTCAGATGGAACGGAGGAACCAAGTTGGTAGCTGTTGCTCGTGACTTGATCATGCGTGCGTTGACTTTATGCGCCACAGTACACTGATGATTTATGCAACGATCAAGGTAAATATAATTCTAAGCAAACTCTTAGACCTCGTTCTCTTGTTCCGGGAGCACGATCGGAGTAGAAATCTTTATTCAGGTTTTCATATCCCAAAGATACAAAGCGCATGTCGAAACCAAAGGCCACTTCTGATGCCATACGTTTATCAAATAACAACGATATCATCCACACCATCTCGTGTCTACTAATCTCTCTCCAGATGTACTTCTGATATCGAGATTCCTGGTGCTTTAGGTGGTTCATTCCACGATGAAGTCGATGACAAAATTAAGTGGAAGTGGGGATAGGAGACGACCCTCACATGCACCACCAGTTTTGGGGAAAACTTTTGAAGCTTTTTCAGACCATAACGGGAAATCTGTGAGTAAAGATCGCGCAGGCTATACATGAAATATAATGGCATGACGACTGTGTATTGAAGCGTCTGTCTATCCACGAAGTCGAGGGCTCATCTGAAGTCAAGTAAAGCTTAAGTAATGTGAAGTTGTTTGTCAGGACGACCCCGCCTGACCCGTCTCCTGCCTAGTGCTCACAGATTTGCGTCCCGCGGGATTAGGTTGGGCATGCGGCGTTTCTGGAACCAGCGATCTTGGTACGACTGGCAAGTTGCTTTGGGCGCTTTATTTAATAAGGGTACGATGGTTAATAAATCCCGATTGTCCCGGATGCTTTCTATTTCCTAAACTATCTTAGACAGCCCAATCAAGATCACCAACCTCTTTGAATAACAATGGTGGGGTATATCTGGCTTTATGGCTTGATATCTTTTAAAGAGATGAAGGCATAATAACATTTCTCAACCTGAGAGGCGTTCATAATCCAGTCTGATTTAGATTGAACAGGTTGAACAAACAATATTGGTTCGAAGACAGATTTCCAGATGGACGGTAGCTAAAAATTTTCATCTCGGTGGTCAAGAAGCTGGGCCTATCTTTGTGTTTAATTTCTTATAGCTTTGGTGACCGTACTACGGACCAGATTTTCAGGTACCATTTCGTATATGAGGTAAAACAGTTTCCGTAAAATTCCGGATGCACTGTCTTCCATTTCTAAGGCTTTGTTATTCTACTCGGCTTTTCTATCGGCACACAGGTTGTGCTTGAATTTAGGTCCGAGGGACCCGGCTGAATCGCGCCCTAAATGGATACAGCTCCTCACACGGTTAAACAACATATCGTCCGCACACCAGCATAAACGGGGACTTGCCTGTGTTTGGCTGTATAGAAGCATGATGAGCTAGCAACACCATCGGCAGGCTCATTCTCCAGTCATCCCCTTTGACTGCCAGTCACTCCTTGGTAGTTCAGTGCTTGCGTTCGGTTAGACCATTTGTTTGAGGGTTGTATGGTGCCGTCTGATGCCCAGCTTCTGCAAGCAACTCCTAAACTCTTCGCTCTCAAAGCAAGGATTTTAATCGGTTAGGATCATTTTTGGAACCCCATGATTGGCCACGATGTGATGCATTACCACTCCGCTGATTTGGCATGACCGCCGCCTCGACCCACCGCGACAGATGTTCCGTCATTATCACGATATGTTGATTTCCGCTGGTCGTCACCGGAAAGGGGCCCGTGATGTTAACGTACTGTAACTCGCCAGAAACATGAATGGGCTCCAAGGTCACCCATCTGTGCAACGGAAAACAGAACGTAACTGACTACCATGTACTAACATTCGTGGTTCCCTTCACTGAGAGCAGTGAAGCTTCAGTGTTGAACACTGATGTCATGCTGTCGATGATGATGATGATCACCGAGAGCCGCTGCATACACACTAGAACTTCCTCGCCTTCTTGGTATCTCTAGCATGCAGAAATACTCCAGATTTTACTCCAAGTCAATGATCGGGTTTTCTCTATCCGGCATCTATCAGCTGCCTACAGTATCTGGCATCCAATAAATAGAGATCGTCCAGTACGTAGCAATCTGTCTCAAGACTCCGACGGTTTAATATTTCACATACATGGGATGAATGGATAATAGCGGCACGCGTAAGGCTTGTGCAGCCTGTTTTCACGCAACTTATCTAATGTTTAGATTGCAGCTCCCAAATATGTTATTGGAAGTCCTACACTGGTAAAGAAATTGGTGACCTGAAAAGCATGGTCTGGTAAAGAATGGCTTCTATCAACGGTCAAAATGGCTGTTGTTTTCCTGACCATAACAACTAAAGAACTCGTGTTCCTGGAAAATATTGTTAGTATTAATCAGTTAGCACTATCAGTAATAATACTGAAGTGATCAATAGTGATGTTTCACACCAGTTGAGCTTGTCAATAGGTCATACGAAGCTAAATTCACCACGTTCTCGGTATGTTTGTAGATGTGTGAATCCCAGAGCAAAGTAAACCAGTGGGCTTAGCCTATTTACAGACAGCACCGACTGTGTTTAGGCTGGTTGGCCAATGCAAAAAATACCTTCATTGAGCAGCCCAATACCTTGAAAGCTGAGTTAATGAAACTTTAGTCATCTGCACCGCTCTTGGAGGAGGACGACGGTCACAATTCTTGTCATCACCATCATTGAGTGACAGCAACAAAAGTGAAAGCAGTGGTTCTTCACTGCTATGCACCCATGTCAATCTATTTGAATAAGGCCTTCTAATGGAAAGAAGGAAAAACTGGACAAGGAGGGCAACCTAGGACTGGTCTAGCGCAAGCATCCGATTGAGGCAGTAACCTTTACACTGGTAGTGCTTATGGAGGCGTGTAAGTTTTTGATGAATAACTTCTGTCTCATTTGGGTTATCTGGGTGGAAATTCTGTCATTTGGCCGAGACTTCGGGTGGAAGTCGGTATGATCATGAAAAGACTGCCGGTTGCTCCGCTTTTCACTAGATCAGCCCTCTACTCCGTATGAACATCGGGCTGAGAAAGGTAACATGATGGGTTTGGCAAATGTTCCTTTCGAGGGCACGTGAATTCACATGCCTCCTGTCCATGGGTTATGTTGTTGGGTCTTAAACCGCGCGGGCACGCTTGCGTGCCATAATGATGTTATAATCCCGTTGGTGTGTGAGCGAGTGTATGTGGAAATTACGATATCAATTGGTACAATCCTAGTCAGAAAATACTGATGGAACTACTGTGGCTCTCAGAGCGTAGATGAATTCAACATATTCTGTTCCGGTCGTATACTTTCAAGTGGATTCTTCTCCCTTAACCACACAAACCCTGTATGTGCCAGCTGATAAACTGCTTGTTCGTCCCTTTGAATTTGCTGACTTTTTTTCACTCCCGGGCCGGATGATTCTGGAAACATTCAGGCCAAATATCTCTAATACTGCGAATGAGACTACGGACTCCTAGTGAGAATGCACCAACATGCAACCGTACAACGTCAAAATGATAAAATCGCTCAATGGCAAAAGCCTGTTTGAATCCAATGTTCATATAAGTGCTAGCAGAAAGAACTGCATCTAACTTCCCCGTAAGTTTGAGTGCAAGGTTGGTGGTGGTGAACCTTGGGTAACAGTTTCAATGTGGTGTCATCATCGACAGAATGACATTCGTGTTCAACACCGATTCCTCGGTGGTAGGTAATCTTTCGATTGACTTTTGTAGGTTTTAAATAGGGAACTCATAATATTGCGTCACAAAGTTATTTCGAATACTTCGCTATTTTATTGAGCGATGTATTCTGATATTTACTTGGTGTTGGTCGATATCATATTATTATCATTTATTTTTGAAGAGCATGGTCACAAACATAAAAAGTGAATGCAAGCGATGAATGCGAAAGAGTAACAGGAGAATATGGGAGAAAAGAGAGAAACGTTTCATTCGAAATCATGCCAAGGACAGTGCCAGTCTGATGAGGTGAATCCCAAAGTATGTAAAGATTTAGTTGCGACGTTGGCACAAACTTCTGTCCAGTAAAGTCCAGCCCTCGACTAAGGTCACTTAAGCCGAAGGTGGTTCAGTCTTGTGATTTGTTGTTCCTGTGGTTCTATCATCGCCCAGCACGTTATCAGCGAAGTTTCAGAACCGTCGAGGTTTGCGTGCATCGTCACTTACTCATGTTGGCTGTCTTATAATGGTCACTGTAACCGCGACAACTCTAAACAAGGCCGCAGCCTGCACCATGCACCTGGTTTACATTTCTGTTTCAGGGCCATCTGTTGGCCGTAGTT